TTTTTTTTTCTTTCTTTAAATTGGTATATAATAAAAATCTTTTTTTGGTGTGTCTTTTTGATGCATTGTGTCTTCTACCAGGTCTACAAATCTATTTTCCTCCCTTAGAATACATGAAACTCCAGAATTAAGATGTGAGACGTTGATATTTCCAGTTGAAGACAGCTAATGGCTTCTCTTCATCACTCAGAACACAGGACAGTCCATGTGATGCACATACAGCAACAGAAAAATTAACATGTGTTCTTTGGTTTTTATTCTCTGTGTAAATGAGACTCGGTGGATTGAGTCTAAGACAAAATAAAGAAAATTAAAAATAAGCAAAAGTTGGATGGTGTTGCAGTGAGTTCTTCATCTTTCAGTGTGGAAACCATGATGAATGAATGATGCTGTTTAGCTGCTCCAACACATATCACTTTATTTTTTCTGCTGATGAACTTTAAGTGAAACTAACAAGTTATTTTCAAAACGCTCAACCAGTTTTGGAATTCTATCCACAACCTTTTTTTTTGTTTCTTGACTGATAATTTCCAGTATGTGCAGATGTGGAAAACAACGAGCCCAGTCACACCCCTACATTGTACTACTGTTTACTCTCTCGTTTCATCCAAGAGCTCTCCATCTCTCCGCCGACGTCGCCCTCTTTGACTTTTTTTTTTGTCCCATTCTTTTGTTCATCCATGTGTGCACCTTAAGTTAACAAGCCGTCTCTGCCTCATTTACCCTGCAGTTCGGCTGTAAATGTTTCTGTCAGTGGTATGCTAGTAAAAAACTATGGTTTAACAAGAATGCAATTCAGTGAGTGCAAACATATAAAAAAGACAAAAATGTACAGAGAGTTGAGCTCCCAGTTTGTTACAGAGTTATAAGCTCAGTCAAACTACTTGGAAAACTCGCCTATTAAGTGTGAATGACAACTTCGAGTCAGTATTATTGTGATTCTTTTGATGTTTTATAGATGTGTTGCAAGAAGAAACCCTATTTCCCTGCAGACTTGATCTTTGACACAGAACAAGCTTTAAGATTTGTGAAAATGTGTGCATCCATCCATCCATCCATCCATCCATCCATTATTTTTACCCGCTTATTCCATTTTGGGTCACGGGGGTCGCTGGTGCCCATGTCCAGCAATCATTGTGCGAGGGGCGGGGTACACCCTGGACGGGTCGCAAGTCCATCACAGGGCCACATAGAGACAAACGAGACAAACAAACATTCACTCTCTCACTCACACCTATGGACAATTTAGAGTTACCAATCAGCCTAACATGCATGTTGTTTTTGGTCTGTGGGAGGAAACCAGAGTACCCGGAGATAACCCACGCATGCACAGAGAGAACATGCAAACTCCACCCAGAAAGGCCCCTGGACCGGGGTTTGAACCAAGGACCTGTTCGCTGAGAGGCAGCAGCTCTACCAGTTGCGCCACCGTGCTGCCCAAAATGTGTGCATGTGAATCAGTTTTTTCTATTTTATCCTCTGCACAAATTGCAATGTTAATACATAGCAATGATCTTAGTGATCAAAGTCTTTGATATTATTATTGGGGACTGCCATTGCAATGCACCTATTATTCTACAACTAATAAGCATTTCTTTAATTCTTTATTTTTGTTCTGTCATCGTTAATGCAGCCCGAATCGCAACGTGTACCCCCACAAAAGTTATATCAACATGACCGGCTCAATCTCGACAAGGAAGATATTATTTTTATTGGCAATCGGAGTTACCATGGCGATGTATTTTGCTGACAAAGTCGCCATATTTCCCCATAGGACATGACTGAGAGAACACTCCTCACACGAACTGCTGCTGTCAAGTCACATGACTTAGAGTGTAGATGTCCCTGAAGAAAACAGAAACTCACTGTTGGATTATTTTGAAACTCACAGAAATTAATCATCAAATAAATGTCTAGAACTGATTAACGTTTGGAGCCATTTTGATTCAAGATGGCTGCCACAGCTACCTCAGCAATCACAAAATTACTATAACTCGGTCATTCTTTGAGATATTGAGCTGAAATGTAGTATGGTTGTAGCCGAGAGGGAGTTGAAATACATTCTTAATGAAAATGAAATATCCGCGATGGACGCCTTAGCTAATAGAGAAAAAATATGATAACTCTGCCATTTTATGGAGCTGAAATTTGGTGTATTGGTAGCTGAGAATGATCCCTAATAGACTCTGGCTGAAAATCAAAAATACAAGATGGCTGCCTAAAGGAAAAAGGAAAAATACTATGAATCAGTCAGATTTAGTGATATTGACCTGAAACTTGGTGTGGTGATAGCTGAGAATGTTTCCTATCAAATGCTTTACCAAAATCAAAAATCCAAGATGGCCACCAATGCTACATAACAATGGCTTTAACTCAGCCATTTTTACACAGAGCTGAAATGTGGTGAGGTTGTATCTGAGAACGTTCCCTATCACATATTGAATCCAAATAAAAAATCCAAGATGGCCACCTTAGCTGAAAAGGAAAAAAATACGGTAACTCAGCCATTTTTAGAGCTAGTCAGCTGAAATTTGGTATAGTGGTAGCTGAGAGCAAACCAAACACATAGTACTGTAAAATCAACCATTGAATTTGGCGGCAGCCTGGCAGTCCTTGTCAAACTTTCTCCAGGAACTTTCTAGTGTTAATGCTACTCTTTTTTTCTGAAAATAAAGTGCAAAGACTTAATTCTCCATGAACTTTCCTTTCCCCCTGATTCGTCCACCTAGAAATTTGTTGCAAATGAGACATTTAGCAGAGCTTGTATGACTCAGCACTTTAGACAAGCATGACTTTAAATGATTAAGTGTTTACAGCAGTTCCTTAATTAAACTGCACCTTTCTCACACCCGGCAGTATCACTTTCAAATGACATTTTGTGAGATGAGTACAGCTTATTTAAGCTTGATTAACTGTATTACGGTTAGCACCTTTAACAAAATTGGTTGCATTATCATGAAATAAAAGGATTAGAAATCCTTGAAGGAATGCGTTTCATTCACCGCCTTAATGTCAGTTTTAAACTAAAGTCATTTTTCATGAGAAGTGACAGACTTATAGCAGTTTTTGTCAAAAATTTGTGAATGATGCAAATGTTACAAGTAACAAGAAATGCAAATGAGGATGAACTGTATGAGAATATAAGTTGACTTTGATGAAATGAAATGAATTTACGTGGAAGTACTGACACTTAGTTTTTTAAGCTATTTAGAGCAATTTCTAAAATCATGAAGATGGTACTCAGTTATTCCAGAAACATCAAGGTTTATTCTGCATGCTGCTGCATCAATCTGCTTTTAACAGCAGCTTAATGCTCCACACATCCTAAAACTTAACAGATGTTCCATAAACCAGAGGAACTTTTAGTTTAAAATAATCTCTTGACCTACAAGACTTTAGGAGTAATTATCGACTACCACCATGAAAATAACATTATATTGTCTGTGTATAAGTGTGTCTGTTTGTTAGCAAAATATCTCATACACTATTGACTGATTTTAATGAAACGCTCAACTTGTAATCACAGGATGTACATCTACAACTGATTAATTTTTGGAGTCAGTGAAGATCAAGATGGCTGCCAGTTAATCAACATTAATGTACACAAATATAACTGAGTGGAATTTTCTGATACTGAGCTAAAGCTTTGAGTGGAAGTAGCTGAGAGTCATCCCTGACACATACTCTGAGCACTAACAGGTTGTGACAGATTTTTGTTTTTAACCTTAACATGCAAGCTAGTAGGCGGCACGGTGGATCAGTTGGTAGAGCTGCTGCCTCTCAGCGAGCAGGTTCCCGGTTCAAATCTCGATCCAGGGGCCTTCCTGGGTGGAGTTTGCATGTTCTCTCCGTGCATGCGTGGGTTTTGTCTGGGTACTCCTGTTTCCTCCCACAGACCAAAAACATGCATGTTAGACTGATTGGTAACTCTGAATTGTCACTAGGTGTGAGTGAGAGAGTGAATGGTTGTTTGTCTCATTTGTCTCTATGTGTCCCTGTGAGGGACTTGGACCTGTCCAGGGTGTCCCCCACCTCTCGCACAGTGATTGTTGGATATGGGCACCGATGACCGCTGCAACCCAAAAAGGAAGAAGTGGGTAAAAGATAACGGATGGATGCAAGATGGATGTAGGATGCATGCAGGACGGCAGGTGACACACATCCCTTGAGTTAAACATTAAAATGGAAAATAAACATTTTAAACAGCTCACTAAGAACTCATACATTCAGTGGAATAATCAGTTTTGGATTTTCTGCTTTAAGACAATCTTTTTCCTGTTTATTCCTTAGACAAAGTTTCATATCTTGATTAGACCTTTCAGAAAAGAAGCACTGTTTGTTTATGGTCTTGCTTCTGGTAGCTGGAACCTTCCTCCTGCTGGCAAAACACACGTCATTAAAGACACGATTGCTTAGTGTCAATCTGCAGTGTGTCCTGTTTTACAGCCAAGAGCGGAGCGAAATTTGTGACCTCCTACTGTTTAAAGTGTAAAAATGACCACCGTATCTTATAGTTATCTCTTCAATAAGTTTCCATCCAAACCAAATCCACAAAATTTCAAGCACAACCATTAAAATGCAACACAGAACTAAATAAAACTAACGCAAACCCAATATTAAATCATAGACGGTGGCATAAAAGAAATTCTAACAACACCAGTTCTCGTTACTTGAATGGATTAAAAGTGTACGTCTTGCTTAACAGTCACCTTTTTGTGTGCATGTAAACACGCTTGTTGCCGTTTTTAGTGCCACATGCACAAACACACGAGGGCCCGCACATAAAAACCTGCACACAGAAGCACTCAAACACAACACGACCGAGAACCAGAGATCATCCTCCCACTGCGCAAACAAAAGCCAAAAAGCCCCCGTCAAACAGGTCGTTTGGGGCTGGATGGAGAGGTGGAGCGGAGGAGAAACAGAGGGAGGTGCTCAAGGAGAGAACAGGAAAGAAAGACGCCCCTTTAAAACAGAATACCACTGTTTTTGCATCTCACTCTGCAGATCATCTCACCTGCATACTCGTGCAGAATTTTGGACTATGGCTTCCACCACCTCAGGTGATGTTCTGCCAACAGGCAGCAGGGTCTTCATCACCTTTCCAGACCTCTTCTTTATCCCCGAGTTTGTGAGTTTCTTGTCTTTTTTTTTTACAATAAATTATTTGCTAATGTAATCTTCCACCTTATAAGAGTTAATTTTTTTTCAGCTTCTACACATTTGTCTAATTGCTCACTTTGATCATGTTTTCTTTCTTTGCTTTCCTCCTAAACCTTGTCCACAAAAGTCTCCATTGAGATAAGAATCCCTCATTTTTGTTTTTAGTTGAGCAGGACCCAGTATTTGATGAGACCAGTCCACACAAACCTAAATGTCCATCCAGTCAACTGTGAAGAATGAAGGTGATGGGGTTGACTGAGTCAAGCTCAACAGATATTAATCACCAAAGAGCATCTCATACAAACTCTCAATTTGCTCTTTTTGTCTTTGTAAATTAACGCTTGTTGGCCAAAGATAACAAGATGACATTTCTACATTTACACTGACAGTGTGAACTTTATTTTTGTGGATTTGTTTCCTCGTAAACGGGATAACAACAGCCAAAATTGTTTTTTAGCAACAAAACAGGATTATCCTTTTTTTCTTTTTTTTTTACTTATCGTACATGACACAGTTTTGAAATGACTTAATATTACAACTGTGTATATCTGTGGAAACTAACACACCTGAGATGTACATTCCACAAAACTTAGTATTTGTCCACTTTGTTGTTATGATGAAAATCTACATCAAGCTTATTTTAGTGATATTTCTAAATGATGGAGCTGACCAGAACAGAAATGTCCATAAAGATATACAGTATATTTTAAACACATACGTCCTGCAGTTTAATTGATTGGAGTCTTGTTTACAAAGCTGAGACAGTAGCGAGAAACTGATAATACAAAGTTTTTAAAACCTAAAGAGAGTCCATTGTGAAAAAAACCCCCTGAATTTTTAAAAACCAGTAATGGGATCTCAGGTCCTTTCATTAAATGCAATTTTTTTTTTTTTTTTTTTTTGCTGTTCTTTTTTTACTGGGAAAATGGACGATTAAATCTTTGTGACACAGGTGGAAAAACACCTGTGGCACACAGATATGGTTGCAGAGCGAGGTGTAAATCTAAACCAGTCATCAGTTCGCGTGGTTTGCTTGTTTTCATGAAACGATCTGCAGCTCAGAAGTGGAAATCTACTGAAAATCTACTTTTTTTTGGAAAAAAAAAAAAAAAAAAAAAGAACAATTTCTTCTAAACCCCGTTTGTTTATGTCTCAAGTCTTGTGCTTCAGGCCGAGGTAGAAGTTTCATCCTGCTAACTCAGAAGAAGAAATTCAAAGTGTTATATGTGTGTTCTTGTAAATCATTTAGTCTGTTTTCAAAGTAAAATTTAAAACTTAATTGGTTGGTGCATCGCTTGAACTTGGACCTTTTGCTCAACAGTTGTTGCCTCTGTCCCCAAACCCCTCCCAACGTCCATTTTGTTGTTTGTGGAACGTAAAAGACGGCCCTTTGAGATATTTTGACCAAATTTGTTGAGGTTGTTTATTACACATTTATTTTTTGTCCAATAAACTTTTATTTTCTTTTTGGCTAATCCTTTCTTCAGGGGTCGCCACACCAAGCTAACTTGCATGAAGAATTGGCAATAGTGTTTTTTTTGTTTGTTTTTTTTGGGGGGGGCTGTTTACGCCAGATGCCCTTCCTGACACAACCACCGAGCTACCACAGCCCTCTGTGTGGAGCAGAGCTGCCATCTAGGGCGCCTGGGTGAGCATGGTGGGGGTTAAGGGCGTTGCTCAAGGGCCCAGGGTGGGACAAACAGGAGACAGTTGGGGGTGTTTTCATCTATTCCACCCACATTTTGATGTTATTGGTTTGGGTAGTTGAGTCGGCAATCTTCCAATCACAGGTTCGCCTTCTCTAACCTCTGCACCACTAATAAACAAAAATGGGAAAAGTTTGCCCACAAACTATGAGAGAAAATACATCTTTTCATAATAATAAAAAAAAAAAGCACACGTTGAAAATGTTAAGAAACATCGACAAAAAGAACAACTATAGCGTCTTTCTTTAACATTGTTTTTTTTTTCTTACAAGGTTGAAATACAAAGAAGATGCATTCCTTTCAGGGAGAACAAACACCAATTTATGAGCACAATAAAGGAGAAAAAACACACCAGCTGAAACCTTACTGTGAACTCTTATCTATAATAATAAAACACACACACTCACAAAAAGTTTACCATTCTTTGACTTGGAAACACTGGCTGCGCTAAAAATGTCTGTTGACAACTTCTGTTTGGGCAAATTATTTATTGGATCAATAATAAACGGACAATACATTTTTCAAGCCATGCTGTAGCAGTAAAAACTATCCCTGTCAAACAATTGTTGAAATCCAGAGAACTCCCCCACATGTTGTTGCACTTCCAAAGGAAACCTTGTTTTGGCAGGAGGCGGCTTGTTCTCTAGATATGAGTCATCAGTGAGCTGGACCTGCCTCACTAAAAGGTTTTGAAGTAACTCTTCTGACTTGGATGTAGTTTGAATCTATTACAGTTGCCATGGGAACAAACGTCAAACATTTCAGAGCTATGTGACAAAGAGCTTTTGATAAAACGAGCATTAAGGAAGAAATTTACTGGTCTATAAAAGCAGCCCATTTTGGACCAAAACAACACAAAAATTAAGGAAATTTGTGTTTGCTTGATTTTTTTTCCTTATTGGAACAATGCTTCTTGGCAATAAATTGTATACTCATAAAAGACAACCTGTTTATTTCCCAATTTATGGTGCCACATTTGTTAGGTAAACAAATTTGTGGGTTGAGTATGAGGGTTGTGCCCATTAAAAACTTGCCACATTCTCTCTGCCAATGGCAAACAGCTGTTGTTTCTTTTGGTGTTTATTGGATTGACGTGTGAAGAAACAAGATAAATGCAATTTAACAATGTATTGATTTAAGTAACATGGGCCTCAGTAGCACGTGGAAGAACCATACACAGCCACAACAGCCTGGTACATCCTCTTCATATCACTCACCAGCTTGGTCACACACTGCTGTAGGACGGCATGCCATTATTCAACCATTTGTCACAAGTCAGCCATTGTGGTTGTGTTGGTTACTCGGGAACGAACAACATGCCCAGTCTGATCCGACAAGAGTTCAATAAGACTTAGATCAGGACTGCAGGCAGGCCATCACATCTTCCCACTCCTTAATTCTGGATGTGGTCTCTGATAAATCCCACTCTGTGGGGGTGCACATTATCATCTCGGTGGATAGGGTTCAGACACAGACTGTGGAGATATTTGATTGCCATTGGTTGCACACAGGTGCTGAAAATCAGAGACGACGCAGGCACCTGACTGTCGCCCCATGGGGTCCCAGTTAGTCAGAACAGGAGCCAGTAGCAGAATCAGCTGTTTGGCAGTGGCAGAAAACATTTGACGAGTTTTGCACGGGCGCGGTGCACATACCCAACTCTGATGCTCTATCCACAAATGTGGCAATTTTAAAGGGAAATAGAGGCTTACCATTTTATATAAGATCTATTGTCCAGAAGCTTTCTTACAACAAACAAATGATTAGTCAAATTACTTCACTTTTTGTGATATGTTTATTATTAATTTGGACAAAAAGGTCTAATAGGATGAAGTAACAATATGGCTTACAGTAATATTTGCTGACATGCTATAGCTGTGGTGTTTATGCAAAGTAATGTTTCCACAGTCACAGTCTGTTTGCTCTGTTCCCTATTTCCTTGTTGAATTGTACTTGTTTCCTCTTTCAAATCTGTCATATGTATAGATTTTATGTTTCATGGCTCTACCCTATGAGTTAATTTAGTTTTAGAAAGAGATGTGAACTTGAAGGTAAAGTTAATTAATAATAAACAAAACAATTTTAACACGAAGGGTCACAGATAGACACACAGACGACACCAGTCTTTGCTCTCCTGAACCATTTGATGACCAGTTACAATACTGCCTATGACTTTTACTAAAACTTAAAGAATGCATTTAGTAATTTAGTTCAAGCTCATGTAATTTTATTTTGATTCTCATGCAATCCTTTCTCAGCAAAAATACAGGCTTCCAAAACCATAAACCATTTCTGTAAGTTGTAAATTATTTTTAAAATGGAAGATTAGAAAAAAAAACTTCAAAGATGCTTAAGGTTGAAAATTAGTATTCATGGTACAAAAGCGTGTGCAATAAGGTAAAAAAAAAATTGTGGACACATTAATTTAGTGTACGGCACATTCTTTTCTGACAGACTGCATGTTTGTTGCCAAGCTTAACTTGATGAGTGGATCATTCAGGCTTTAAAATGGTGTTTGCTCATGGAATGACTGAATTAAAGACCTGAAAATAGAAAGCTACTTCCACTTACAATAAAATAAATGACACAAAAACACATGTTTAGTAAAGTTATTTTGACTTGTCATGGTTTGGACAGCAAGGAATGCAAACGACCGATAACGGGATCTGAATGGAGGACCAGTGACAACTCACTTTGAATTTACAAGAAAGACGTGATGGGAATTTGGTCATTTTCTGTTAGTTTGCTCAGCTCACCAGAAAGAAAGAACCAGATTTTGTTTTGTTGAGGTCGGCAAAACTATCCAGATCCCAGAAAAAAGCTGGAATTCCCATCACTACAAAAACGATATGATGGACACTTTGTCTCCCAAAAGAGCCTAATCTAAAGCTCCCAAACAGCTCGTCACAAACAACACTAAGTAATGAGTCAACACTTTGTGTTGCAATCAGCATTACACAAAAATTACACTAAATTAATTGCAAATGCCTACAGAGCTGCACCATAATCGCTCTTCTGATGTAAGAAACTCTGGAAGCTCGTTAAGTTTTGAAAACTCTCAAGATTTTCAAAGGAGGAGAGGAAAAACTGAGACAATGAACCAAAAAGTGACTGTTTTTTTGTATTTATGTGTGCTTATTTAAATTATTATACATATCCAATACATCCTTATATTTAGACAAGTTAGAAACGGATTAAAAATGTGCAGGCTGCACTTTAGGAAATGTGAAACTGAGCATACATTGTTCAGAACCTGATTTGATTAGTGAATAAAATTTGGACCTGCTGTTGAATTTTCCCCTTTTGATAGAGTAGGTGGCGGCTTTGGAATCATTATTTTTTAATATTGTGAAAATTTCCATTATTTGCAATATTTACAGATATATGTAATATATTGCATATTAATGGTCTTATACTGGCATGGTTTTGTGATGTTTTTGACCCTCCAAAGCATCAAATTTCTAAAATAAATAAATTACAATAAAAACGAAAGAAAGGTGATTCAATATTTTAGCTTTGCTCTACTCTAAACCTTTAAGTGCACCGTGCTCATCAGTGTCTCTTCCTGTCTGCTGTTTGACTCGGCAGGTCATTGGAGGTTTGGTTTGGATCCTCGTGGCGTCGACTCGAGTGGAACCGGCCAACCCGCTGGGCTGGGTGATGTTTGTATCGGTCTTCTGCTTTGTCGGGACGACTCTGTGGTTCTTCATCTTCGTCTGTGGTGGCAATCAGAGCAGCATCTGGCCTGCTGTGGTTAGATACACACACCATTCACTGATTAACCAACTGGAGAGATGGATGGTTGAATGGATGGATGGATTGATGGTTGGATGGATGGTTGGATGGATGATTGGATGGTTGGATGGATGGTTGAATGGATGGATTGATGGTTGGATGGATTGTTGAATGGATGGATGGATTGATGGTTGGATGGATAGATGAATGGATGGTTGGATGGATGGATGGTTGGATGGATGATTGGATGGATGACTGAATGGATGATTGGATGGTTGGATGGATGACTGGATAGATGATTGGATGGTTGGATGGATGATTGGATTGTTGGATGGATGGTTGGATGTTGGGTGGATGATTGGATGGTTGGATGGATGGATGGATGGATGGATGGATGGATGGATGGGTGAAACCATGACATAAAAATGCATCAGTGTCTTTGATGTGGCAGAAACACAACTTTGTGAGAAAACCAAAAATAAATTAATCTTTTTTTTTTCTAGTAAAATGTTATTTTTCTGTTATGAAAACTTGAAATCACATTTTATTTAGTTCTGTCTAAAACTCACTCGATGAAGAGAAAAAGCAAAGAATAAAAACAAAAAGCAACTTTTTGCAGATTGAAATTTACCCGTAGGCAACAAAGCAGTGAAGTATGATTTAGCAAAGACAGTTTTAGCGGATCATAGTCAGATTAGAAAAACAACAAAAAGTGCTTACGTATAATTGCACGAGTTTATGTAATGGCTTTTGCTCAACAGTACATCAACTTTTCGAGCATCTCTTCTTTCATTTTCCTAAGAAGCCACGCAGTTTGACGGAGTTCGATTGCTCTCATTTGACTGAAACTTTAATTTGTCAATTTTCTTCAACCATTAATGTTTGCAGAAATATGTTCTCATTAAACTAACACTTGATAATAAAGAATCGTTTTCATGTCTGTGGACAAAGAGTGGAGCCCCGCCCACAGCCACTACAGAAACAACAGTTGTTCCAGTTAAAATGTGTGACATCAGTAAATATCAATCATTCTATTAATTAAAGTTGTTTCACTTCTCTGATTATCAGATGATTGACACGTTTTCTTCTCTGTGATTGATCCCTCCTCCTCCCACCCCATCTCTCCTTTTGCAGGATGCAGGTTTTCATTTCTTGGCGGTGGTTTTCTACCTCAGCGCCTCAGTGGATTTAGCCTATATCACCTTCGTCTATGGGCTTAATTTGCCGACATTTGACATCCTTAAAATCTACAGATTGGACATTTCTGCAGTGGTACGTTAAAACACACAAACAGAAAGTGAGACTAGTTATTTCCAGGCGACTTCTATCATTTAACTCAAAGTCTTCTTTTACCAAGATAACTCAAAAAGTCATAGTGTGAACTTAAATTTTTTAAGTGACTTTAACAGAAACATTAAACACTGTACAGGTTATAATAACTTGCACATTTTCTTTTAGAAGCTTATCAGACTATAGTATTTTGTTAATGTTTAATTCTCTATCACATAGAAAAACATCTGTTTTGTCTGCATTCTGTACAGTTCTTTGTGTTTTTAAGCATATAAAGTAGTAAACTAACTGAATTAAATGACCTCATAATCTTTCTAATTCACAAGCATATGAAAAGTGATATTTCAAATAGGTGAATAAACTAAAAAAAAAAAAAAATCATGAAAAAAGACAGAATAAAAAGTGTTGCTTCAATCAGAAAAAAAAAAAGTTTTGATTTTAAGGAATATAAAAAATGAAATGTAACATATTCGCTTGTTTTAAAATAACCATAATGTTTTTACATCCAAAACTAAGTTTAATCTCCTTATTGAACTTTGTAAAAGAATTAGAAAATGTAGGTCAAAGAAACACATTTGTCTTTTTAAAAGCTGTGGAGGCTGAAGCATGATGAGGAGGCACAGATAAACGTTAATTCAAATTTCGTAGAAGTTACTGATGCTGTGATTTTTATTTTTAAAAGCTTAGCTTGTATCTTTAGCATATAGTAAGCTCTTCTTACCATTTCAGTTGATTTATTTTATTATTTGGCCTAATTAAATATGAAACCTGTCCTCTTTTGAATGAAATGAATTGAGCAGAACTGAACAGATCAAACTATAGTATTCATTTTGCTCTCAGATGGCAGGCTTACTTGTGGTTCCTATAGCTTCCAAAAGCAGACTGACAGGAAGATCTTCCAGTTATCAGGCTCCTCTCTTGTGGAACCAACTTCCAGTTTCTGTCCCTAAGGCTGACACATTGTCCAGTTTTAAGACTGGGCTTAAGACTTTTCTTTTTGATAAATCCTATAGTTAGGGTTGACTTATGCTGCTATAGACTTAGACTACAGGAGGACAAATTGACTTAATTTTCTTAAATGAATTGTTAAAATTGAATAGACCTCATTCAACATTATTTCTATCTTAACATGTGATTCTTGACCTGCCATTGTGTATCTGTTCCTCTCAAACCCAGCTGGTCGAAGCAGATGGCCACTTGTCCTGAGCCTGGTTCTGCTAAAGGTTTCTTCATCAGGGAGTTTTTCCTTTCCACTGTCGCCTTCATACTTGCTCAAGATGAGAAATGAAAGTTAAACTCAAAGCAGTCTGCTCCTCAGATAAATAGTGTTATTAAATTACTTTTTATGTATATGAATGTTTCTGTTCAGTGCCCTTCCATTGTGACTTGGCTCTATATAAATAAACTGAATCGAATAAATGTTATAGCATGACTTCCTTCTATAGCAACAAATCACAACAGAAGTCATCTTCAAAATCATGCAGAAAAAGTAAATAGGTTCACTTCAAATCTGATTACAGTCCAGCCTATTTTTTTTTAATCTTAATTCGAGTTAAGTGAAGTAAAATTTAAACAGAATAAAATAACAGTAAAAATGCATTACAGCTCAGGGTCACTCCAGCTTTTTCTAACTACTTTAAACTTTTATTAAAAGGAAAGTTTAACCTCAGCTGAGGAAGACCAGATAAGATAATAAAAATCTTTGAAAACATCATAAGAGCAGAAAAGTCTCCTGCACTCATTTAGTCACTTCTTAGTGTTGTTTCAAAACGTATTTGAACTCTGGTGATTCTTCATTGATCTGCTCTGTGGATGTTTGCAGGTGATGTCACACGTGGCCACGCTTCTCTACTTCCTTCACGCCATCTTTTCTGCCATTCGATGGAAACGGGCCTAAACACAACAGCAACCCTACAACACAATGAAGCACACACACACAGTTTCCTTAGTGAACACGTGCTGATTTATTTTTGTGTCACCCTTTTTTATTTAATTTCAGTAAGATAATGTGAAAACGAGTTGTGAATGGTGGGAATCCTAATGCGAAGTCAGACGTCATGTCCGCTTTCTTGTTGAAACCGACAACAACAATCAGTGAATGTGAGGTGATAGTGTCAACGTTCAAGCTCAGTTATCAGTATCGGCTGGTGCAAAGTGAGTTTTAACCACGTTCTAAATTCCAGTTTAGATTCTGTGAAAATAACTTGGTTGCACAGATCAGTTTACCCAAAGAAGAAGAAAAAAAACCACAATAATTTTTGTATTTTTTTCCTGCGTCACGTTTTCATCAAGTTGATCGTCACAACAACGAGAAAACAGAATTGGGTTTTTTTTTTGGACCAGGATGACGTTACTGAAATGTTCAAAGCTAGATTTTATTACAGATAAAAATACAAACTAATTTTACGTATCGTTTTACAAAAAACATGACAACATTTTGAGAAATAAGATCCTAAATCTTTAGATTGATATTTGGTCAAATGCTTTAGGGAAACTGATAAAAAAATAAAATAAAAAATAACAATAATATCATGATTCACCTGTTCGCATTTTTTAAAATTAATTACACACAAAAAAAATTAAATTAGTGCCAACTTGCAGTAAACATGTTGCAAATTATACATGAAAGATTTAATTGTGAAATATTTAAAACACTTCAATCCATTTTAAAACTTGATGGGGAATGAGATAACCTGTCTTCTGTCTATTTTTTTTTTGTTTAGACAAAACAATCACAAATTATCTTTTTTATTATTTTCAATTTAACTGTCTTGTTATTTCTGTATGTTTGTCAAATAATGTTATCAATAAAATTAATTCATCTTTGAAATTCTTGATTGTAAATAGTTCAATGATTTCACATTTTGGGTGAGTTTGAAGTCTTTGACACAAAATAAATAAAGTGAATATCTAAGTGTTGTTTGTGCATCAATTTTCCACTAGTACACTAAAAACAAGGTCACCTTTCCATAACAAACACCTTGATGACCTCCTAAACACAGGTCAGAAGTTGTGGATGAATTGTTTGTAATGAGAAAATCCACGACGCCCTGAAAGAATGGCATTTATCGGCCTTCAACACCATCATCCCCGACTCTGGTGCAGAAGCTCTCCTTTCTTGGACTGAGTCCCACACTGGGGTACGGGATTCTGGACTTCCTGACCAACAGACCTCAGACTGTCAGGATCCACAATGTCGTCTCCTCCTCCATCACCTTCAGCACTGGGTTGCCCCAGAGCTGCGTGCTGAGCCCCCTCCTGTTCACTCTACTGACATATGTCTGCTCGGCTAGACACCCCAGCTGCCATATAATGAAGTTTGCAGACAACACAGCAGTAGTGGGATGCATCACGAACAATGACGAGTCTAAATACAGAGAGGAGGTGGAACATCTGGTGCGGTGGTGCAGAGACAATAATCTTTGCATCAATGAGAAGAAGACCAAGGAGATAGTGGTGGATTTCAGAAGGGACAAGGATCTTCTTCATCCCCTACACATCGGAGGAGCAGCTGTAGAGGTGGTCTCCTGCTACAGATACCTGGGGGTGCATATATCCAGTGACCTCACCTGGAGAGCCAACACACTTCCTGTGTGGTCAAGAAGGCCCACCAGCATCTCTACTTCCTCAGGGAGCTGAAGAGAGCTGGATTTGGGAGCTTTGTCCTGAGGAGCTTCTATCGCTGTGTGGTGGAGAGAGTTCTCTGCACCTGCATCCCCGTGTGGCATGGCAGCTGCACTGCTGCTGAGAGGCTGGCTCTGCAGAGGGTGGTTAAGACTGCACAGAAGGCTGTGGGGAGCAGCCTTCCCACCACCGCGGACCTCTACACTTCACGATGCAGGAGGATGCTCTGCATCATGAAGGACTCCACTCATCCTGCACACAGTCTGTTCCAGCTCCTCCCCTCAAGCAGGCAGCTGAAGAGCATTCAGAGCAAGACCACCAGGCTCAGAAACAGTTTCGTCCCTGCAGCTGCCAGACTGCTGAACGCGAGCTGCACTTAATTCAGCTTCATCTTACATTTTTTAAATTTTAATAATAAAAATAATGTATGTGTATTGTTATCATTATACGTTCCAATACAATGGCAAAATTTGCTCTCTGCACTTAACCCATTCACCACCAGGTGGAGCAGTGGGCAGCTATGGAAGGTGCCTGGAGAGCAACTGGGGATAATGTGTCCTGCTCAGAGACACTATGAGATGTACAATGACCAGGCATCGAGACTTAGGGTCCCGAGTCAGCTGCCCCTACACCATCTCGGCCCCCATATAATATACTTTATATATATATATATAAATATATATATATATATATATATATATATATATATATATATATATATAGAGAGAGAGAGAGAGAGAGAGAGAGAGAGAGAGCTAGTATGACAATAAAAAAATCCTTGAATCCTTGAATAGAATAAGTACATAAACAGTGATACATATTTGTATTTTTTACCAATACCACATATTTGTATTTTTTACCAATACCCCGCATATTACCACAAACATTGTTATACAATATTGCAAGCTTATATTCGTTTTTAACATAATTGATACCAACATATATTCCAAGTACCACAAGAAGAATCCTGAATACCACTGGTACTTGTACGACAATTTGAGAACTACAGACTTAAAATATCCTGATGCATGCTCAATAATCCAGGTAGAAAAATCTAAAAAAGTTAAATCTGGTCCTCTGGACATTCAAAAAGACAGACTTACAGACTTAAAAGAACTCGTATCAGCTCTTGGTGCTGTGAGAACTACAGATGCTGACAAGTTTATGGATACCCTTCTCTGATAATCAAAGATCACAACTGATGAGATGGCTCAAAATGCTCCAGTTCTGTCTCATCAGTCCCAGAATCTTCGGGGCTTGTCATGACACAGTTGGGTGAATTTCTATCTTACTTTTCCCCTTTTAAGGTGACGTCTTCTGTTGTTTAGTGTTGAACCCATGTGCAGGCAGACACGGGAGACTCCGGTAAAAATAAAGCTAGTATTTATTTAAACAAAAAACAAAACAAAAAGCTGACGGGGCAGCAAAACTTACATGAATGACGAGATGGGGAAAATGATGGAGGAACAGACACGACAGGCTAGGAAGCACAATCCACGGACAAAGGAGGAACACAGAGACAATGAATTTATAAGGAAGTTGGCAAGACAAAATGTCGAACACCTGGGGTGATTAGGGTTGGAGACAGGAACTGACAATGAGGAAGAGAAACACTGGGCAGAGCAGGAAACACAAGGATCTAAAGAAATGACAGAACAAAAACACAGATTCCCACATTTGGTCAATTGTAGAGATCTCCTGGGTCTTCTCTTCTGATTCAAAATGCGAGGGATGGTGCAATCAGATGGTGAGCTACGTTGTCCTTTGGTGTTTCCTCAGCTTTTTTACCATCTACACTTGGTTCTGATCAACCTGCAGTTGCCTTTCCTTTTATTCCCACACCCTGGCAGGTCGGCTACAGTCACATGAAACTTTTGTTTTAATCAAATTGGCAGCTGTTGTCACAGGGACATGACACTGCTCGGACATTGACTTTAGCCTTTACATGGAGATCCATAAACTTCTGAGCGCCACAGATGGGCTCGGCTTCGCTTTCTCTATATATTCAATGTGAAGCACACAATGACGCTAACCTACACAGTGGTATATTTGCTCAATATAAAACTGGCTGATAGGAAGCTTGAAGACACTAATTAAAGTCAAACAGTTTAAAACTATTTTAGCATATCTTTAAGAAATAAACAAACCATACATTATATATATATATATATATATATATATATATATATATATTTTTTTTTTTTTTTTCATTCAACCTTTATTTAGACAGGTAAATCTCAATGAGCCTCGAAGACTCATTTACAAGAGAGACCTGATTTCAGCAAAGATATATATAGATATATCTATATCTATATATATCTATATTTATATATATATATATATATATATATCTTGGGCTTGGAGCCGTTTTGTAGCTCCCCTTTAGCTATATGATTTTCGATACAGTTGAGATGTTATCAAATGCAAACCAGCCATAGGATCCATTAATAATTTCAAAACATGCCTTTTACAATTTCTAAATGAAAGCTTGGGTTTGTGAGGTTATAGCTAACCACACTTACTCACTTATTCATCTTTCTTCTGTACCAAACTCAAGTTAAAATGACTCATGAATATAATAATGTGATGAATAGAGGCAGCAGGTGCTCAGCTTCTAAAGTGCGGGTCATCGCCTACTTGGAAACTCACCGAGCTGTTTATTTTATTTTTTAACTCAATGGCATTGATGTTCATATTAGAGAGATTTTTGTAGCCCAAGGTCACACGATTCCTCCTCTGCTTGCTTCTAAAGCCTGTCACACATCACCAGCTCACATTAAACACTGGGCAGCCCCCGGGTGTTGTAAGGAGGGTGTGTCTGCTTTGTAATGGAGCAAGGAGCTGTTGTGGGAAGGGATCTCTCACACACACAATAGCTGAACGGGTTTGTCTGCTCACCTGGCTTTCCTATAAGGGTCAGTTCCACCTGTAGCTGCTCCGTTAGTCCAGAGGAGACAGACAGGGCAGCTCGCTCGCTCACTGTTGATCCAGCCGAAGGAAGAGGCAGAGATGGCTGCTACCACTGCTCAGTCCATGGGGACCCTGCCCAGCGGACTGGAGATCTGCACCACGTTTCCAGATATATTTTACTTGCCTGAACTGGTGAGTCAGTAAAATGACTACTTTAAGTTCCTGATGTAGAAATCGCTTTATTTTGAACGAATATGATAAAACTGACTAGATTTTGTCTATTTATACCATATATATATATATATATATATATATATATATATATACACAGTATATGTATATACAGTATATACCGGTATATGAAAAGCCAAAAAATAATTTAATATTATCAGCTCTGTATTTTAGAAACTTAAATGTAAAATAACCTAAATATGTGTAAAGTATTTTATTTTTACATAAAAATATATTGTTCTACTTGCTCGTGAGGAAAATCTGTAGTCACGTTTAAACTTTTTTTTATATTTGTCATTTGAACAAAGCAATAGTCAAAGATCATTTTGATCAAAACTGTGGTATGCTTTTATAAATTGAGAAGACAAAGGAAAATGTCCACAAGGGAGGAGTAACCCCATCCCTTTACATCTCATATTTCAGTCATATTGTGTCTCTGTGACGAATCTAAGAAAGAATGTGGCCGTCGCTCCCATCGTTCTTCTCCATGAAGGATTAAAACATTGAAAACTGCTCGTGTAGCTCATGGTAGAAAACAGTTTAATTTACAGTTTGAAGGTTGTGTCTGAGTTTACCGTCTGTGTCAGGTTTTCTTTTACTTGCTTTAGATTAAACTGAAGTTTTACACATGCTCACCCCTACGTCTTTTTATTTCCTGAAGTCAGATTACACTTTATCTGCATGTGTTTTGAGTTCAGGGCGTAAAAATAAAGAAACAAAGGAAAGAAATGACAATAGCTGACATACAGTAACCGAGGATGTGGTGACGACTCCATTAGAACATTTTTGTAAATAGACTTGAGTTAGAATTTCTGTTACACGTCACTCTTTTCATTTTTCAAGGATTCAAGGAGACTTTACTGTCATTCGCATCACATGTGGTACATGACGTGGAACGAACATGTGTACTCAAAGTCCCAGTTACATCCAAAATAGCAATACTATAAAGTATAAAAAAAAATAACAGTATACAAACATCTAAGAAAAATAATGTTGATTATAAATTATTAGAAAATTGTATTTGTATTTTACTTTTATATATATACTTTTTTGCTTTTTGTTAATGTTAAGGTAACAAAACATCTTTAAAAAAAAGCAGTTGTGTTCTGGGTAAAAAATAAAAATAAATAAATTCACAACGCTAGCATGTTTTTATGTAAACTTCTTCCATTCTGTAGGTCACCAAGGTGAAACTTCTTGTATACAGTAATTACACAATCATTCAGAAGACGTTAAACACCTTTAAATATCACCTGTACTGTTATTTTCAGGCGAAGCCATTGTTACATGCACAATGTCAGGATTTCTCTTTTTCAGTGTTTATTTAGTTCCTTTTAAAGTTTGTGTTGTTGTGATATTTTGGTATTTTCTGTTTGGCCTACTTCTATCACCATTCCATTCCTTCCCTCAGGTAGTTCCCACTCCTCAATCTTGCCGCACCCACCCATTAACGTTCCCTGGTTCATTAAGTTAGTTTCCAGTCGTACCAGCCCCAGTCCTTTTAGTCCCTCAGCTTCACCTCATTCACCAGTGTGGCATTATATGCGCTTAATGCCATGCCCTTGATTCCAGGAGTGTTTTTAAGCTGTTACCACATCTGTCTGTTTTTATTTTTGTTAATAAAACTTAACTTTTTACTAACAAAGTCCATGCTCAGTAATCCAGGTGTACAGTCCAACAATTTTCAGTTTAAGTTTGTACTGCTGTGTTCAGTCTGCATTCCTGGGTTCAAACCCTGATACACGTTCATTATAAATATGGAAATAAGGCTGCTGATGTTATTAATGGGGTTGTCATGTTGTAAAATGGTTTCCGCTGGTTGAGATCAGGCTTTTGTGATGACAAGAACTATGCCAAATGAAAATCATCAAAGAGTGATGCCCCTGAAACTATATATATATTTAGAAAAAACTGTTCACACTGTAGTGGAGAAAGAGAGCATTCCCAGTGTGTATGTAGAACAGTGGCCCCGTTTGTGACGTAAAAACCACAAGCAGTACCTTTGGCTCTTCAGCAGATCAGGTTCCTCACATTCACATGCTTCTTGACCTACCAGATTTTTGATAATATAAAATAAACAGCACACATAAAGGTAAGCTATCTGTTGGAAAGTTTACAGTTATCATTATTAATTATATGTACATACTGTAGGTGATAGTTATGTTCATCGCATATTCTACAGAATGATATTCAGATGAGCTTTTTTGTCTGAAAAAAGTCCAATAGTAGCATTACTGTAGTTCACTTCTCTTTAATGCCAGTTACCTTTCCTGTTTACTATAATAAAAGTACCAGTAGTTACTGGGCAGGTCTGTAATTCTATGAATAAGCTTCTGAATTTGTACAAAGTTGTCTCGGCTCATTTGCCTTCAAGAAAAACAAACATTAAATTTTACAATTCGGGACCTGCATTATAATATTTGATGGTAGCTAAAAGAAGAACTTTGAATCTGGGAGACTGATGACCCAATGCATGACTTTTGTTTTTGACATTTATTTGCTTCTGTCTTTAGGTCCAACATGGTTTCTAGTATTTATAGGCTATACTGTTGTGGAAGTTAAAACCGAGGAATGAAATCTTGATTGATTAAAACAAAAATGCTGGCATGGCTGCAAAACTTACAGAAGACAGGTTTAGGTTTCTTTGTCATATGCAGATCAACACAAGTCAACAATGCAATGCTCGTCGAGAAGAACCGCACGACTCTAAAAAAAAAAAAAAAAAAAACCACCAACAACAACAAGAAATAACAAAAAATGCAAAACAAAAGGCCAAAAGTGGAAAATAAGTAAATCTACAGCAGCATGGTCCTATTATCAGAGTGGTACTGTTGGTGGTGAGGTTCTTTTAGCAGCATGATACTGTTAGCAATGTGGTTTTGTTAGCAGCGCGGTCCCGTTAACTGCCTTCCAGAACTGGGTCTGGCAGACACAGAACAAAGTTTCTCTGCAGAAACAAACTGTTCTGTAGAGTTCGGTCCATGCAGGCGGATCATGGAGACTGCCGCCATGACATGAGCCAGAGCCCAAGGAGGGAAGGGGGTCGGGGACTGAACCACGATGTCACGATGGCAAGGCAGCAACACACAAACTCCTAAAGCGTGTTGCAGTCAAATCTGTAGCGTGGGTGTGCAGTGTAGGCACAAAAAAGATCAACCAAAAAGAACCGGAACAAAAAATGGGCGAGTCAAAGCGGAGCTCCCGTCAGTGTTATCATACTGCGATGCACGTGACATCACATCATGATGTGATGGTGAACCAGATATGGTGTAAGCACACACACACACACACACAGGCAAACTGGTGAGTGAGGATAAACTGAGGGACTACAAGGACTGAGGCTGATGAGATGATTGGAAGCAACTGGGCTAATGAGACAGGGAACAGGTGTGACTGGGCATGGCAGGACTGAGGAGCAGGAAAAGTACTAGGAGAAAATGAACTGATGGCACAGGTAAACATAGAGGGACAGCGCAGAAAATAAATCCAAAAGGGATAAACCCAATAATAAACACAAAAGACTAATACAATAATTACTGAAAAACACAGACACTGACAATTTAGTATACATGTATTGGCAAAATGATAACTCAGAAAGTTATTTGGTATAAACAACACAGTTTTTACTTCATTAAAATGTATACTTACTCCATTTGATTATATTGGAGTCCATTTCATGGGGCTGGAGTGTGATCTACTTCCTGAATGGGGCGTGGCCTGTTTCAGTACAGTGCAGTGGATTTGAGGCTGCAAATCCTAAAATAGAGCATTTGTAACTTGCTTAAATCAGAGCAAGAACATCAAAGTTCATGCTCAATAGTCCCTTAAATTAAGGCAAGAACAGTAATTCAACGGGTTAGTTGCCTTGAAAGGTGGGTAATCATGTACCCACCAGTGTGTGTAGGTATTTGTTTGTTTTTGATTAAATATCACATTCATTCAACCTTTATTTATACAGATTAATCCCATTGAGCCTTGAGGAATCATTTACAAGAGAGACCAGATTTGAGACATGAACCACTTGATGTATTATAATCAAACTCTCAGAGTCTAATCATTTCATATATATCTTCAACTAATGACCTTTAGGAATCAATTCATTTGGTGATGCTCGCCACAGATACTTTAGCAAGCACAGTGATGGCTTTAGTGTAGTCAGTTTTACAGATATTGAGCTCAAGCTTTGTTTGCTAGTAACTAAGGATCGTCCCCATCACATACACACTCAAAGCAACAGATTATGGGAGATCTTTGTTTAAATTTTTGGGCCAAGGGTGAAATGCATTTTGTCAAGGAAGTGATAGTTTTAGTTTGTGTTACATGTTAGATGAATCTTAAAATCTAACTTTTATGTATTATCTAAATTAATTTTCTAAAAATCAGTATAACAATGTGTTCTTATAGACTCGGCAATAACTATGGTTTTGATTACTTGACGTGTTACATAAAAGCACAAAACCTACTAGTTTATTAGATGTAAGCAGAAGACAGATTAGTTTTCCAAATCTTTTCCAATGCTCAGCATTTTTTAAATGCTACATTATTTAACATGACGGTGTGGTTATTGCAGTGTATGCACAGTTTTGTTTTATGAAAAGCTTTTTTTACAGAGATCCATTGTGTATGACGCAGCGGAAGAAAAAAATAATATAAAATAAAAAAGGAAAATAATTCCAGGGTCAAATAAATTTGAAAACACTTGGATAACCCTGCACACTAAACAATACCCAGACCGAGAAAGAGAAGCGTTTGTTTAGTCAATAGTTTGAGAGACGACGGCCTCTCAATCAGCAGTTTTTGTTGTCACCTGGGTGTTGATCACATTTCATCTGCAGTGAAACCTGTTTTAATATCTAAGGTTTCTGAGAAAATGTTTAAAGAAAAGTGTTATCATGTGTTTTTTGTTCTTTACAAGTTACAAATGTTGATCATTTTACTGTGAATTAAAAACAATATGACGTAACATCACTGCATCAAGTCATTTAGACAAAAGAAAGTATAGTAAATGTAAATCTAGGGATTGTTGCTTCTATAATTAAAACAATCCCGTACAGGTTCTTAAAAAAATACAAAATAGTCAATGTGTTCTGAAGCCAATATATCAGTTTTGTGTTTGTGCTCTTTTTCCAAACAGCATAACATTTTTCATCATGATAGACTAAAATTTCTCTACTGCTTCCTTGCAGGTGTTCGGTGGTCTGGTTTGGATTCTGGTGGCGTCGACCTATGTGGCCCCACAGAACCCTCTGGGATGGGTGATGTTCGTCTCCGTCTTCTGCTTCGTCATGACCTTCATCTGGATGATCATCTTTGCAGTCGGGGCTCATAGGAGCAGTTCGGCCTGGGCAGCTGCTGTAAGAGGACAAGAAAAATGGCATGAAATGAAACAAACCAAACACGGTGATGAACTCTGATGAATGTGAAATCTCTTTTGTGTGTGCAGGACTTTGTTTACCATTTCCTAGCCGTGCTCTTCTACCTCAGTGCAGGGGTGGATTTGGCTTACATCACGTTAATAATGAAACACATAGATTCAAGAATGTACAAGATTGATATTTCTGCTGTGGTAAGTATTAAGCAGCTACTTTCAGTCAGGTTGCATTTCAAAAGTACTTCCTAGTGCAATTAAGGTTAAGTTCAATCATCCAGGTAGATAACAACAAAAAAGGTTAAATCATGTCATTTGGACCAGTTTCTTTAAGGGAGAAACTTTTGTCTTCCATCCGGAGGACTTCATCAGTCTGCGGCCTGCCAACCAGATCTGTCCTATAGGTAGCCTTCATTGCTGTGATTCAAGTCAACCTCCTGTTGGAATCTCAGAAGTAAACTTTTAACACATGCAAACAAGGCCCATCCATACAAAACAATCATCATATACAACAATCAAATGTTTTAGGCTGGATGGTCAACTTGCTACCCACAAATACAGCCTGAGGAAAACCAAGGCCAAACTAGTTTAGAAAAAAGGTTTGTAAGCTCAATTATCCAGGTAGATAATAACAAAAAAGGTTAAATCATGTCATCTGGACCAGTTTCTGGTCCAGATGAAAAAAGCCTGAAAGCCTGCATCTGAGATTTCAACAGGAGGTTGACTTGAAACACAGCAATGAAGGCTACATGGGACATATCTGGTTGACAGGCTGCAGACTGACACAGTCCTCTGGATGGGGGACAAAACATTTACTTAAAGAAACCGGTCCAGATGACATGATTTAACCTTTTGTGTTATTCCCAGTGCAATGTTTGTGTTTCATTTGTTTTTCATGAAAGAATGTCACTTCTTCCATTGAATTTGACTCCTTTTTTTGTAGAGAAGTTTTTAAAAAGTCTATGCGTTTCCCTCAACTTCACCATTCAAAATGTAAAAAGCGAACAGAGCTGAAACCAACAGCACGTTGATTAGCCTAGCTTAGCTTTTACAACCCCTGGCGACAATTGTGGAATCACAATTTTTGGAGGATGTGCTTTCATTTGTTTAATTTTGTATAAAAATGCATCACATACATGCTACAAAACATTTTCCAAAACGCCAGCCTTCTGGCATTAAGAAACAATAAAAAAAGAAATAAATATAACGGTCATAGACATAATTATAATGTAATAACAACTGTAACAATTGTAATTCTGGAAGAGGTGGTTGGGCAAACAAATGTCTGCTCAAACTGCAGCACCTGTGACCTGACTCTGGAACAAACTGAAGATGGATGGATGGATGGATGGATGGATGATGGATGGATGGATGGATGGACGGACAGCGAAATTTGTTTTATTTTTAAATCAAGCAGAGTGAAAAATCATGGCATCACTCACACAATTGCTTTAAAAACAGAGATTTATATGTTTCAAAAAAAGTCAGACAAAAGCCATCTTGACTGAATGAAGGTGTCATGTCAGGTAAAGGTATGAGGGACACAGTGATTTTTACATCTTGAAAAAAATGTCAAAGTCTATATTTTAATTTTGACACGTCTCCTATTACGTTAGTTGAAAGGATGTTTGGCAAAAAGGACTTTGTAAAGAAGATAATGCAACTTTCCATTGGACAAAGGGCATGGAAACTTTCCTTAAAAAAGGCAATGTTAATGTCTTTGGCAAGGACCACAAATAGTTCGACTCTCAATCCATCTGAACATCTTTGGTGGAAATTAAAGAAAATGGTTCATGACAGAACTCCAACCTGCAAAGCTAATCTGGCAACAACAATAAGCGACGGAGCCAGGCTGAGTACTAGCTGTCATTAGGTCCAGGCTTCAGAGAATTCAGCATGGTATAAAAAACACTCAGAGGTGATGCCGCAAAGTCCTTATGGCACAGTGTTTTCTCATGTTTCTATAACTTTTTTATCTGCTTGATCCAAAAGAGCAATTGTGACTGATTACAACAATTATATATATAATTGTTCTGATGCATGCTCAATAATCCAGATAAATCTAACAAGGTTAAGTCAGGTCATCTGGACAGATTCTTCTTAAGAATTCACAAGACATTATTTATAAGTAAAAACTGTCCAGATGACCTGACTTAACCTTGTTAGATATAAAATTGTTGTTACCTAATGCAATAAAGTTAGAAAAATAATAGTTTGTGGCATTTTTTTAAATCAGAATTCAACTATTTAATTAGAAGATCCTCCAGAGCAGGGATTCCATAGTTTTCACCAGGGTTTGTTCCATGATTAGGAAATTTTATTCCAATAAACTGCACTAAACATGTAAATAATTTATGAGTTTTGCGGCAGTGCTGACTCACCCACATGACTGTTTACTCCCAATACCTGCTGTTGGGACATGGCTTCCTCCTATGTACAAAACAGATCTTGCCCTCAGTGCTTCTGTTTGTCAGAAAGACATTTGAATCAACATGAATGTGACACTCTGAAAGAATCAGAAGCCCATGACTCATGTCATAGCACTGATACAGGAGGGAGCGGGGTAGCCAAGTCATGTATTTTATTCAACTTGCTTATATCTTAAAAAAATAAATAAATGAAATGTAAAAAAGTCAGATCCTTACATTGAAGTTTTTTTTTTTCTTTTGCTGACATTAAAGCTCAACAACATGTTTGTTGCATTGCAAATGTCATTAGCCTTTTAAAGATTTTACAAATTAACAGGTTTTTGCAGAAAAATATATTGTTCTGAATTGTTTGATATCCATATTAATGTTAAAAATGACTAATCTAATTGTGTAATTATTCCCTTTCAAGCCTGACTTCTTTTAAACTGTGACTTCCAATCATTCATCTAACCACAACCAACCAAGCAGTCAACCTCATGTTATATTTAATTTGGAACGTTACAGGTCATTTCTTGTTTTTTTGCTTGTGTTTTCAGGTTTTTGCCTTTGCAACCACACTCCTCTACTTCATCCATGCCCTCCTCTCTGCCATCCGATGGAAACATTTCTGAAACCACACACTCCATGAAAAGTGCTGCAGCAGTGCACAACACACAAAAAAATCCCTACTCAGGATTGTTTATGATTCTGTATGCATGTTTTAGAGATATACAAGCTGCTTAAACTCAGTTAAAGTTTATTTTTCTATTTGCAAAGATGTTAACAAAATAACTTAACATTCACTAAATATAAGAGCTCATCTTGAAACTTTTGATCCCCATAACTTATGTTGCACAACATTTATTGAAGTGGGTTGAGACTTTCTGGATGATCACTGGGCAATTTAGAAAAGGAATAAAGTGAATTATTAAAAACCTAACTGATATTATAGAAGCTAATTTTAGAATATGTAGTTAACAAAAATAAAATGTATATGAATAGTGAAGTAGAAATTCTGCATTTATATTATTTGAAAAAGACAGTTCAAATAAAATAAACAACGGCCTAATAATTTTGCTATTTTTTTTTTTTGTTGTTGTTGTTGCATCAAATATCTTTGAAAGCCCCTGAAGTATTTCACAATTTCTGTTTTTCTGGAACAAAATGTCTTGTCACCATTTTTGGCTGATATATCATTTAAAAATAAAATGTCCATTTAAATAAAAGTAATTCTTGTGTGTTCTGTCCAGCTATGTGCATGTAGTGACTGTTGAGCAAAATGTTGCAAAGATGTCTGAAACCAAATACTAGTTATAGAACAAAACAGTACTGGGTGAAGGCCCAAGTTAATAAGTTTACATCCAGTGACTTGTTAATGTATCAGTGATGAGTACAATATGTGTTTTGAAATGTTTTGTTTTCAACAACAAAGCATCTTGAACTTTGAGTCCAAAAACTTGCAACAGAAATTGAACCTAGTCAGGTATTCAAATGTATGCTTTAACAGTTTCGATCCTATTAATCCCTATAAATTCATCAAAGCAAGCAAAAATAATTTTGTGTATAATAATTCAGGTTTGGAGCACTAAATAAATATATACAAATATTGAAGGATTCAAGGTTCTTTATTTGTCGTTCGCACCACATGTGGTTACATGAGATGCGAACAAAATTGTCCCAGCTACATCCAACAAAAGTATTAACATTTAAAAGAAAAACAGTAATAAGATTTAAGATATGAACTAAAAAAAATGTTAACTAAATATACACTAAGTACTAGTAGCATAAAAACAATACGCCGAACAGCAGCATGAACATGAGTCGGTGTGAGCAGATGAGTACGAATGAACACAGCAACATGAAACAGATCAGCAGCAACATGAAACAGATCAGTAGCAACATGAAACAGATCAGCAGCAACATGATATGATTCTTCACAGTGATTATTCTAGTTAGAGATTCATGAGTCTAACAGTCTCAGGGTAGAAGCTGTTCCTCAGTCTTATGATTCTACACTTAATGCTCCTTAACCTACTTCTTGAGGGGAGCAGGGCAAAAAGTGTGTGTGCTGGGTGTGTGGGGTCCTTCATGATGCAGGTGGCCCTGTTCCTGCATCTGGAGGTGTAGATGTCTGTGATGGTGGGGAGGCTGACTCCAACAGTCTCTGTGCAGCCTTCACCACTCTCTGCAAAGCTTTTCTTTCTGCAGCTGTGCAGCCTCCATGCCACACGTTGATGCTGGAGAACAGGATGCTCTCCACTGCACACCTGTAGAAGGAGGTGAGGACTGAGCTTTCCAGACCAGCTTGTCTCAGACACCTGAGGAAGTAGAGTCTCTGATGAGCTTTCTTGATCAGGCTGGTATAGTTGTTGTCCCAGCTGAGGTTGTCATTCAGGTGTACCCTCAAGTACTTGTAGCTGGAGACCACTTCTACCACAGATCCTCCTATGTTCGGGGGGGGGGGGGGGGGGGTAGGCGTGTTTGTTCCTTCTGAAGTCCACAACCATCTCCTTTGTCTTCTTTACATTGATGTGAAGGTTATTATTCTTGCACCAGCTCTCCAGGTTTTCCACCTCCTGCCTGTAGCTGGACTCATTGTTGTTTGTGATGCATCCCACCACTGCTGTATCATCTGCAAACTTTACAATATGACAGCCTGAATGGGTAGATGCACAGTCATACGTGAGTAGAGTGAACAGGAGATGGCTCAGCACACATCCCTGAGGGGAGCCATGCAGTACTGAGGGTTATGCTGGAGAAGGAAAAGTTGTGGATCCTCACAGACTGCATCTGCTGAGGGGTCCTCACCTCAGCCTGAGGGTCCAGCATCTGCTGAGAGGTCCTCAGCCTGAGGGTCCAGCATCTGCTGAGGGGTCCTCACCTGAGCCTGAGGGTCCAGCATCTGCTGAGGGGTCCTCACCTCATCCTGAGGGTCCTGTGTCCCCTGTTGGTCCTGCTGAAGAAGATCCCAGCCAGTCTGCGACCTTCGTCCCTGACCCGCCTGTGACCTCTGTACCTGACCTGCTCTAGCCTGTAGGACAGCCTCTACGCTGTCCATCTGAATGTTGGTCCTGTACTGGATGGCCTACCGGCCGCCCACCTGAACTTTGGCCTCGTGCTGGACGGCCTCCCGGCTGCCCCCCTGAACTTTGGCCTTATGCTGGACGGCCTCCCGGCCGCCCCCCTGACCTGCTCTGGCCTATCGGATGGCCTCACAGCCTCCCACCTGACCTGCTCTGAGCCAGTGGACAGTCCCTTGGCCGTCTGGACATTTTGTGTTCCCTGCTTAGTTTTGTCCCCAGGCCTTGTCCTGTCGGTTTTGTTTTGGTCCTCGTGTGTCTTTGTTCGGGCCCGCCACCCTTGCAGTTCCTCCCTCCGCCCGCCCTAATTTTCTGTGTGTGTGTGTGTGTGTGTGGGGGGGGGGGGGGGC